CCCCCCCCCCCCCGCGCACGCGCGCGTTCGTGAACGATAAATGAAAACGTAGACGGACAAAGACGAGAGAGAAGAAAAGAAAAGAGAAGAGAGGAAAGCAAGGAGAAAGAGAAAGAGCAACGCGGAGGGCACCCCATGGAGGACACCCTCGCGAAGCCCCTCACACGTCGGCCCCCACGCAACGGGAGCAGCGTTACGCTCGGTCGACGGGGTACCTCGTGAGAATTCGGGTGTCAGGGGTGCCTTGGTAGTAGCGGCGGTGGTCGGTGATGTGAGAGGAGGCGGTGGTGGGTGGTAGCGGTGGCGGTAGCGGTGGTGGTGGAGGTGGAGGTGGTGGTGGTGGTGCTAGTAGTGGTGCGGTTACAGTCGATACGGCGTGGCGGAGGCGTCGAGGAGCTTTTCGCCGAGGACGACGCGAGTGCACGCCGGACGCAGGTTTACGTAAGAAGGAACGACGACGATGACGGCGACAACGACGTCGACGGCGACGATGTTGCGTCCGTTCGCGTCGGTCCGCCTGCCCGCCTAGTGGTGACGTCGAGTGTGCTGGTCGCGTGTGCGCACGTGTGACGCCGCCAATGGATACTCGACGAGGTGGCTGATCGAAAACCCGAGGGGACGTCCTCGGCGCGGTTTGGGCTCGCCGAACGGAGCGCGCGCTGCTCGACGAAGGAACGCGAGTGACGCGGTAACGTAGTCGCGAGGGGTGCCGGGGAAGGACACACGAATGGACGAGACGGGTCCGTTGAGTTCCGAGCCTTCTCGTGATTCGCCGCGGTGCGCTGCGAGGACTCCGGCGAGTGGTGGGTTCGCGTGAAGGGTGCGTAGGGAGAAGAAGAAGAGACGCGTGAAAGGAGCAGCAACGGGAGAAGAATCCAGCGTGAAAGGTGGAGAGGGAGAGGGAGTGGAAAAGCGAGGACGCGAGGACGCGAGAAGGAGGATGATGGGCGTAAGATCGGTCCCGATAGGTTTTTGCGAGCGGACGAAGACGCCCGTCGGTCGTCGCTGAGGCGGCTCGCGGGTCCTCGGTGTCGTCGGGCGAGGAGGTGGAACGAAGACGAGTCGAGGGCTGTTGTACGGCGATAACGATCCGTCATGGGGCTGTCGGTGTTCCTGCTGTACGCGGTGACGGTGCTCGGCGTGGCGGCCAGCGGCGACAAGTGCGCCGACGAGTGCTCCTGTAAGTGGAAGAGCGGGAAGCGCACGGTGGAGTGCATAGATCGTGCCCTGACCAGCATACCGGAGTGGATCGATCCGGAGACGCAGGTGCTGGACACGAGCAACAACGACATCAGGCATCTGCCGAGCAACATCTTCGTGCGCGTACGCCTGACGAATCTGCAGCGTCTCTACCTGCGTGAGTGCCGTATCGACCGGATCGACGGCGAGGCATTAGCCGGCCTGACGAATCTCGTGGAGCTCGACCTGAGCAACAATCTGCTGACCGCGGTGCCGAGCTCGAGCTTCACCGACACGCCGTTCCTGCGCGACCTGGTGCTCGCGTACAACCCCCTCGAGAAGATCCGCTCGCTCACCTTTGAGAGCACGCCGAACCTCGTGAAGCTCGATCTCTCGCACACGCAGCTGGCGGAGATCGAGTCGAAGGGCTTCCGCGGCCTCGACCTGCTCGAGAGCCTCAAGCTCAACAACAATCGGCTGTCCACTCTGCAGCCGGGCACCTTCGAGCCGCTCAACAAGCTCACCAGCATCGAACTGCACGACAATCCGTGGATCTGCAACTGCCATCTGCGCGAGATGAAGATGTGGCTGGTGAAGCACAACCTGCCGACCCTCGTGGCGCCCGTCTGCCACGGTCCCGAGCAGCTGCTCAAGCGTGCCTTCACCGACCTCGGCATCGACGACTTCGCCTGCCGGCCGGTCATGCTGATAGCCAGCCGCTACGCCGAGGCGACCATCGGCGAGAACGCCAGCATCGTGTGCCGCGTGAGCGCGATACCGCCGCCGAAGGTCAAGTGGTACTGGAACGGCCGATTGCTCACCAATCACTCGGCCTTCAGCAGCTACCAGAAGATCCTCATCTTCGAGGAGGGCCAGTTCAGGAAGAGGAGCACGCTGATCCTCACCAACGCCCAAGAGGCGGACTCCAGCGAGTTCTACTGCGTCGCCGAGAACCAGGCCGGCAGCGCCGAGGCCAACTTCACCCTGCACGTGTCTCTGAGGACCGCGGGTATGTCGACCCTCGGTTCCGGTCAGATCGCTGGCATATCGGCCGCCTTGGTCGTGCTCATCCTCTTCATCCTGCTCATCATCCTCGTGCTGTTCATTCGCCTGCGAAGGATGCCGCTGAAGGACGTGAAGTCGTCGGTGCCGATGGAGCCGGCGGCGTCCGGTGACGGGCTCGGCGGTGACAACAACCCACCGTCCGCAACCTCGACCACTCGCAGGAAGCACGAGGAGATCGAGACGACGTCGTTCGGGCTGGAGTCGAAGCCGCCGGCGTCGTTGCACCTGAGCTACGTGCAGAGACCGCAAGCAGCGGTGCTGCAGGATAACGAGTACGCGACGATCAACCGCTTCGACGACCAGAGTCAGCCGGCGATGCCCGCCGGTGCCTGTTTCTCGTCCACCACGTCCTTGATGCCGATCGATAACCCGGATCTCATCAGGGACACCCGGCGCGGCTCCGCCGAGGACATCACGCCTTACGGCGTCGCCGATTACGGCCGCGTCGAGCCGATCGACGACGGCAAGATGCTCTACTCCAGCTGCCTGTGGGAAGCCAGGGACGCCTGCAGGACGTCCGTCTCGGTGAGCGCGTACCCCTCGAAGGAGACGCTCGCGGTGGTAGCGCCGGCCGTCGAGCAGTTCCCGCCCGGCGCGAAGCAGATGCGAGTCTGGCAAAAGGGTGTCCCGGTGCTGCCGCCGGTCTCCGCGCTCAAGCGCGTCCTCGGCTCCACGCGCAGCTCGCCCGACGAGGGCTACCAGGAGGGCACCGGGACCGATGTCTAGGTACCGCTCCTTCATTACTGCGACGCCCGGCACCGTTATCTGGAGCTGCGTAGGAGGCACCAGGAGGACGACACCGACTGCTAAGATGGGGGGGAAACAAGACGAAACCGCGATGGGGAAGCGAACAGAGTCGTCCTCGCGAGTGCCGGACGGGCGGTAGTGAAAGCGAGCAAGAGACGCGACGAACCTCAGTTTGTGTGAATCGCGTGGATCGCGCGCGCATGAAAGTGTGACAATGACCGGGACCGACCGCGGCAACGCGATCGCTGATCGCCGCGCCGCCGCAACCGTGTCGGCTGCCGTCCTTACCGCGGCCACGGGGTTACCACGTTCTCTCTCTCTCTCTCTCTCTCTCTATCGGTGAATCCTCCGCCGCTGGAGAAAGCTCAGCGGCTTACCACCGGTTCGAGCTTGCGTTATTAGGGCACAGTGATCGAGAAGATTATTATCCGGCCGGGCAACTCGGCTAATTAGATACCGCGACTCCGTGCGCGAGCCCTCCGGCACGATTACCGCGGTGCGCCGTGGATTACGTCCACCGTGAAGGCCGGTGGCGATCGAATATTGGCCAGGAGCCTTTCGTACGACGGGGCCATTGTAGCGGAGGTCGACGAACGCGATCCGATCGTCGAGTCGGTCTCTGACGAAAGAGTCCCGGGCATCGTTATCGCGGTGTCGTTGCCCATCGTCGGCGAACGTTCCGCACGCCGTTTAGGGTCGATTAACGCGCGCGACCTGGCGCGTAGGCGACACCGAGCAAAAACAACATCTATCTATCTATCTCCCTCTCTCTCTTTCTACCTTCACGCGGACGCCACGTAGGTCCGCTCATGGTGGCGCGACTTCTCGAGGCGATCCGCGCTCGGCAATTAATGACACGGTTAGCGATGTCTCGTGTGCGCGGAATACGTGGTGTGGTGCACCAGCTGGCGGACGTTCGATTCCGTTTAGCCGGAAATGTGCGCGCACCTGTCGCGGGGCTGTCCCGCCTCCAAGTGCTCGACATCGACGCTGTTAGTTCGCACGGGGGTGGCTCGGGAGGGACACGGCCGATGGCTACGCCGAGGTGATAGCGCTCGTCGTTGTTGTTGTTGTGAGTGAAGAAGCGCCCGCGAACGTGTGTCCAATTTCGAGTAGTTCGAGGGTTATCGTACCACGAGATGCTTCGGAATTGGTGGACGCGCGAATATTCACGAACGGGTAACGTAAGGGTGACTCGGGAGAGGTCGGAGTTTGCGAATGATTACGCACTGATATCGCACGCGCGTCTCCAAGTTTGTGGTAAGCTCTCTCTCTCTCTCTCTCTCTCTCTCTCTCTACATATATATACGTAAATATATATCTCGCTCTCTCTCTCTTTCTCTCTCTCTCTCTCTGTCTCTCTCTCTTTCTCTTTTGGAAAATCCGAAACAATCGAACTGGACACATATTCGCCGGCACTTCTTTATTTCGCGACGCGAGCGGTCGACTCGCGCTCACCTTTCGGAGTATTGACCTCTCCTCCCGCGGCACTCGGTGCGACGTAACAGAAAGAGATATCGGTCGATCGCATTCAGTCAACCGAGAGGCCTCGACACCTGTGCCCCGATATAAGCTATGCCCCGCGCGTAATGTACACATACACACACACATACACAGAGTGCGCGCTCGGAATGCATAGACCGCGAATGCAGCAAGTCAGAGACGAGAGAGCACGATGACGATGCGCGCCACGTCATTGTCACGACGCGATCGTGCAGCGCAATATCGACGGATAATACTTTGTAGTAACGGCTGAGCTAAAGTCGAGACGAGTTAATGTTACCCCGAGGAGCGAGGGACGCGCTATTTGGGTGACTCTCTCCTTAAGACGTTCAAGTGGCGAACACGAAGACTGCAGTGCATATTCCGATCAGGATAACACGTATAGAGGTATACACACACACACACACATACACACGTGCATATACGTGGGGAAAAAAGATCGGTTGAATTAACCCTCTAATAGCAAGGTGGATTTTCGAAACGTCAAAGCATTTTCATAAATGTTTTATCGCGATTATTTCAAATCAGTTGGTAAACTTAGCTATATATTTTTTTCATCTATAAATAAAGGAAGAAGTTTCACGTTATTATTGATTTCTTTCATCATTTTTCGACGTCAGACGAAGAGTAAACAAAACCGAGCATGGCGTCGGATCCGATCTCAATTTCACTATTAGAGGGTTGACGTGACGACGAACGAACGAAAGGCGCGCGTTTTCATTGAACGGGCAGAATTTCGGACGAATTCAAATTCGGTCGCGGATAGCCGAAATTCTGTCTCCTTCGAACGAAACACGTTCGATTCAGCCGATCTTCCTTTTTCCGTGTACGATAGGAAAAGCGAAGACGACGCTTAAGCTGTACCGAAAGGTCTTGCGGATTTTTTCTAGTCAATTCGAAGTGAAGGAGGGTCGAGGAAGGAGTAAAGGAGCACGATCACGGCGAATGTTGTTTATTTCGACGGGGGTGAGAGGTCGGCGCGCTGGAAAATGGCGCGCCTCGATTGGGAAGCGCGAGGTAGTCTCTCGTTGAAATCAACGGCGGGGGTCCCTTGAAGCCTCGGTCGACAAACTCTCACGATTGCGGACCGGCGCGAGCCTATATTGTTGCTTCGAGTGGCTGGTCCGAGTGGCTCTCGTGTCCGAGACGAAACCTCGCGAGAACGATCGAGCGAGAGATAGGTACGGCGCTCGGATGCCGCTCTGGATCCACGTTCTCTGATTTGATCCGCGATTTGGCCGGCTCCTTGACGGATAAGCCCAATTTTCTTCTCGAGGGTCACAGATTCGCTACTTGTTTCTCCGAATCCAGATATATATACAGGGTGTTACGAAATTAGGCCGGCAAACTTTGAAGGGACTTGAAAGGAAATAATTAAAAAAAGTAAATAAATAAACATTAATAAATAAATCTTTTCTGTTAATATTACTTCCCAACTGTGCAACGTTTCGTTTTAACATTATGTGATATGGGAATTTCGTGACTTCAACAATAAACAAACATATAAGGAAACTTAAGCCAAAGCTTACCGCGTGCCATTTCTCGCCTATGATGTCATAAACCACAAATATGGTGGTGAGCTATAGTCGAGTCTTAATGGAGAATTTGATTTTCATTTAATTTATGATTTTCATTTAATTGATTTATACCATATAATATGAAAAACGTTGTCAAGGAATATATAGTATTGGCAAGAAATGTTTATTTCGAAGTCCTCCGTTTCTCTTCTTGTCGGTCTAACTTTTAATATCCTGTATATACATATATATATACATATTTACTTATATATCTATCTCTTGATTTCCGTGTTGAATGTAATTTGATAATGTGACACTCGAGCATGTGATGGATAATCGATAATCTTCTCATAATTTAACGTCGAATCTAGTTATGTATTGTTATCAATATTGAAACGACGTTAGAATGCGCCCCGTCGTTTTTATCGATATTCTACTTATCAACAATGTAAAATACTCATCATATTGAAACGACAACGGATCGATCACATAATACTGACAATATATCCGATAATTGAAGATTGACAGGATGTACTTTTAATATTAACGGGTTTTTCCCCGCCCCCCCATGCGAGTGCATGTGTCGTGAATCGGCAAATCCAGAATACACGTAGATCTCGATCGTCGTCTTTGTATAACGGCGGAGCCACTAGAATCAATTATATAAGACTGTGATAAGCCTGTAAATCAATCGCCAGCGAATGTATACTATTGCTCAATCATTAAAGCAGGATTTCGCGATTGATTGGCCGGCTTATGCCTGGCGTTAGCGTCTTACGTAAGTGAGTCTCTGTCGATCCAGGTATCCGACGGTGAACCGTATTGTCAAATCGGATTACTATGTTCCCGCAGCGGTGAGATCGCGCCGTATTGAAAAATCGCATCTGAGCATCATCGGCAGAGTCCCTCGAGGAAATTATCAGCGTGCTATTTCGCAGGCATCGTTGCAAATTCGCCTTGCAGTATCCGTCATAGGAGAGAAACGACAGTTTGTCTCTCTCTCTCTCTCCCTTCCCTTTCCTCTTTTACTATAAAAAAGCTCTTGCCGTGTACAATCGTGGATCTTCCGATTCGCAAGACAATCCGTGAAAAGTCGCACTTGCGAGTATCGTCATGTCTGGCACCGTACTTTCTCGGCGGGCATTAACGGCTAATTAATGTATCTGATTCATTTGTAAGAAAATTGAGTCACGTACGTTTCCGCGACGAGCGATTCGATAAAAAGCCACTTGTGATTCTCACATGTACAAACCCTCGTTCAACCGTACGCTCGACTTCCCGGAAACATTTTTATCACGGCGGAGAATTACCCCCGCTGGGGAAAGGGTAATCCGATCTGACGATAAGTCAAAACGCCAGTTGTGTGAGTTTCGTTCGAAATCGCCGCCTAAAGTGTGTCGTTCATTTTGTATGCTGTATAAGCATGTACCCGTGAGGTGTGCGTATCCATGTTTGTATGAGCGTGTGTGTGTGTGTGTGTGGGATCGTGTGCAAGGTTGTGTGTGCTTTCGTATCGCGCGTACGCGTTTTCCGTTCGTCGAAAAAGCACGCTCGGTCGAGATAGGCGAGCGCGCGAGCGCGCACGCTCGATTTACCGCTTATCGCCGACTGTTCGATCGGCATATCGCGCACCGGGCCGATTTTCTCTGCTCAATGATCGCGAAGCGCCATATTCGTCATATCAGAAACGGGAGGGCAAAAAACGAGACGGAAGCGAGAAAAAAAGAGCGGCGTCTCGAAATAGAGCGCGGTCACTGCGGACGTTACGTCGCGTGCGCGTACACAGGGGGTGGTGAACCACACACACACACACACGCGCGGACTTTTGCATTAATTTCTTATACCTAGAGACAGGGAGAGAGTAGAGATGACGTACGCGGTGCGACAGAGCAGGTAAAACGACGCTGATTACCCGCCGCGCACCGATACAAACGTACACCGAATATCCGGTAGGGACGGTCACGCAATTATGGACTTTTTCTATCTGACAATTTCTATTTCGCCGGCCGTAATTAAAAGTCGCGGTAATTAACCGGTCCCCGAGTGGGGAGGAAGTTTGTAGAGATGCGAAACGAACAACAGTAGTTGCTTTGAAAAGAATCGGCTGCCACCCATTCTCTCTCTCTCTCTCTCTTTCTCTCGTGCATATGTTCGTTCGTGTGTAGCGTATATGCGCGGAGAAAACGGGAGGGTTACTCGCCCTTCCGTCCCGCTATTTCGTAAAAGACTTCATTTGTTCGTTCGCGACGCACTTTATAATCGCAACCTTCGTCGAAATTCAATTACGCGTAATCGGCTTCCCTTGCTCGTTTCCTCCCTCCTTCCGGTAAATTCCGCGTTTTCGCCGGCATTTGTAATCGTGAAATATCGCCGTTGCTCTCGGCTATGCCGATAACTCTCGCAGCTACTCGTTGATCCACGTCTCATCGAATCCCCCCGACAATATGATCCTCTTTTTAAAATTGTGCAGGAGAGTTCGCCGACCGGAGCCGCTTCGCATTCGCGAGCACCTTCGCTTCGTCGCACCGTCGATCGTCGTGAAAAAATTCGACGCACGACTTATAATATATATACTCGTCCGTAAAATCGCGATAAAATGCATACGGGCGCAACAAAACGTTGATCGTATATCTTTTACAACTTGCGTGGTTCCGCTGGAAAACTCACGGATCGTGTTTTATAAAGAAGAGAGGGATTAAAACAGATATTCGTAGAAACATCTAGTCGGACATATGGATTTTGGTCTTGAGAGCGATTTGGAAATGGGGGGTGGGGGTTAACTCGCAGCGAGCTCGGATTTCGATTGCAATTAGACAGAAATTAAACTCGGAGGGCATTCGTTTTCCCATAGCTCCGTTACGGCCGAAGGGCCGAGCTCCGCGATATTGTATCCGATATCCGTTTTAAGGGTTTAAAATGCGCGTTTCATCGGCCGCGCGTTTTCGCGCGTACCGGCATGCCGATCGCCCCTGAGTAATCGAGAGTCAACTGTTGCGTGCAAACCAGCTCAGCTTGAGTCGTTATATCTGATTCTACGGGCTTTTTTTATACCTCTCGATCGACGTGGCGTACAACCGCCGCAACGCGACCGTGCCGTGGTTCAATATACGCAGCGGTAGTCCGCTCGTTGTCTATGTCGCGGGCTGTAAGGCGTGGACGAGGTCTAAAACCTTTTTACGCGAACTCGATATACCAACGGCACATATTGATCGGAGGAACACGCAAGGCGACATTATTTGTGACGTATCGTCACAGCTGTAGCAAGGTGGCGAGGATCTTCGGGGGTTGCGAATAATCGTGTCACGCCGCGTGAATTAACAATCGTAACTCGACTCGGAAAGTCCGATCGCGAAAGTCGAATCGCATAATCTAGTAAGATGCTTTCGTTTCGCCGAGAAATCATGCTGACACGCGTATTACCGCGTGGGAACGTTCGTGTTCACGGAACACTGACGAGGAGACAAATAGCGCCGCGCGGAATTACGCTGCAAGAAATTCATGTATCGGGGAATACGTTATATATAGATATACGCGCGAATTATACGCGTGTGTTAGACGAAGCTGACCGTACCGGCCTGAAAATGTCATCTCGTGAGGCTCACATTCGACAATGGGGCGCGCCGATCGACGCGAGAATGAGAGCCCCATCGGAGACGCTCGCGTGAAAATTCCGCGCGCGCCCTGATAATGGCTCAATGATAAAACTTAGCGAGCAGTACACTCGGAATAACGCCGTTTCGTAGATTCGCCGTTAACTTTCGGCTTTCACTTTCTCGGCTTATTGACCCGAGTCGGCGCGCAGACGCTCTCAATTTCGAAATGTCACTTTTGCAAAAGCGGACTATCGGCACGTTTAATAGCCGACACGTGCCGGCGTGCGATATTGCGTGGCGGAACGAAATTCTCGTCGTACACGGGAGTGTCGCCTGCTGGACGTAGGTAATGATTATATTTGCTAATGAGAGAAAAATGTATCAAAATAATTTATTTAAATTATGTTATATTTATTTAAATCACATGCGCGCGTATGTGTGTGAAATATATCCGATATTTTCACGTACGCTCATTACTTCGCACACGACGGCGACATTAAAGTTTCATCGCTGCATTTTTGCGCGTCTGATTCGCTGATTTATCTTCAATTCGTGCCGATGCCGACGCGCACGATTGTAATAATAATTCGGGACGCAACACATTTAAATGCCATTACGAATATATATGTATTCAGATATTCCGTCATATTTCAAGTGCACTAAGAAAATACATGAATAAACATTAGCGATAACGATAATCCGATTTTATTTTTAATGTAACTCCGGTTAATTTTCGCGTGAAACCTCCCGTGAGATAAGTCTCTCGATCGAATTTGCTTCTAAAACGGGAATTTCGATAGCAAACGTCACTTTCCATCTCTCGAGACAATTTTATGGCCGAACGTACGATCTGTTATTTTCTATTTCTAAGCGACAGGCTGACATTGGCTGTTCTAATTTCACCGTACTGATAACATGGCAACACATTTTCGCGAGAAAATATATTTGAAACACTGCCGAAAGGGACGCGGAGCTACGCGAGGCGAGCGTAAACAACCCTGTGCACATATTTTCTCACTTCTTAAGGTAATTTCGCTCGCTGGCGAGGAGCTCGTCCTTCGCTCCTGGCGTGAAAATATGCTTTCGCGGCCGCAACACGGCGGCGGTTCGACACCGGGTGTTCGTGAAATTCATACACCTCGAATTTTCGTACCTCCGCGATATTTTTACCGTGGTATTTTAACGCAATCGCATTGTTACGCGGTGGCGGATTTAGAGCATTTCGAGCTCAAAACTGTGCGGTGGTATTCCGACTCTCTTTCTCTCTCTCTCTCTCGTCAAAAGCCGGATAGAAAGAAATCCGACGAATTTTATAGGTATGTACATACACGCGTATCTCATTGTAAGCATTTCACACATAAATCGGGCATGACAAAATCGGGGATTACATGACAAAAAAAAATAGAATCGATTTCAGCGTTTATCATCGACGATGCGGACGAAATGAGCCCCCACGACGTGTTCCTCGAGTCCCGTCACCTTCATTATTCAGAGCCCGAAATCTCTGTCGTTACGGGTCATTATCACACTGGAATAGAAGCACGATAGTTTCCGAGGTGCCGCGCGTCTCCTATTGTTACGACCCGACGTCGTGAATAAACGAGTGCCACTTGTCTTATCAGTTGGCAGCAATAAATTATAGCTACCAATCGGCCGCGGAGTATCTTAAATTAAGGCGATGAGGGATCGAACGAGTGTGCGTACGTGAGAGAGCGAAAGAGAGCGAACGAAAGAAAGAGAGAAAGAGAGAGAGAGAGAGAGAGATTAGACGACAGTGTTAATTTTGCTGGATCCATAGAATTTTGTACATAGGCGACATATATTGTACAGTGAGTTTCGTAGATGATGGGATATATACAGTGAAGTGTGACACGCAGGACGGAACTGATCGTGAAACTGTGCACGACACCTGATAATAACGATATGAAGAGAACGAACGAACGAACGCACGACAAATCGAAAGGCTGATATATGATCACGGTGACTTCGCGAGTCCACGATGTCAGGCACGTGTGCGTATGTGTGTGTGTGCGTGCGTGCGCGAATGACAAACGTTTTTCTACGACCTCGAGATTTTCTCGCGCGGCGAATTAATTGTCGTTACATTATAATAGCGCGCCACGTTGTTAATTTTGTACCCGAGCGAAGTAACGAGATTAACATTTAATCCAAAGAGTGTTCCTTTTTTATCTCCTTAATTAGAAGATGTGGCTGTCCTCTGCGCGGACAAAACTATAGAGAGAAAGAAAAAAAAAGAAGTAGAAGGAGAGAAAGAGAGAAAGAGAGAGAGAGAGAGAGGAGGAAGAGGAGAGAGAACGTAAAAGCGGGCGAACGCTGAATCTCGAACTAAAGGTGGATACGGTCATTTTAAGCTGTTCAAGGACGTCTCTACGTGTATCTTAAGATACTTTATAGATCGCGTCTCTCCTTCTCGAGATACTTAAATGAATTTTTCATACACGTACGTGACTGCCAGATGCATAATCCGGGTTAAGAGTTAATTTCGCGAGCGCGCGCGCGACACGCGTAGGGGGACACGCCGAAGTTTTCACTGATTCGCCAAAGGGAATCGCAACGCGACGCGCGCTACCGGTAAAAAGCACATCTAATTGTGAAAACGCAGTCGCTGCATAAATAACGTACACGAATCCCCGCGACGTGTATCATTGGACGGAGGTATTCTGAATGAATCCCGAAGCGCGCCAGTATGAATAGGGCTGTCGGGGGGTTTTGCGTGGTACACACAGGGTTGCCCCAGTTTTCGCGACAAGAAGCGCGCCGTATTACGAATTCTCGCGTCTAATCCGATTTGTAGCTTGCAATTACGCCTCAAGAAGAAGAGGAGGAGGAGGAAGGAGAAAGAAGACGAAGAAGAAGAGGACGAGGGAGGAGAGGGGGAAGGGGGAGGAGGAAGGGAGAGAAAAAGTCTCTCGGGGCGAAAAATTGCTTAATAAATGCGACGGCCCTTCTCGTTTCGACGTCGACGTAATTCCCGTGTTCCGAGAGAGGCGAGATCCTGAGCGGCGCACGGGGGCAGATCGCGAGACACGCGCGCGACGTGCGTCCATCCCGGGCCACCCTCGAAAGCTGCACTTTGTACAATTAGTCCGCGTGTTACGGACTACGCGCGTTACCCGCGAACCGGCCGCTCCGTGTTAACGCTAGTAATAACATTAATGAGTAAACTCTTTAACGTCCGCTCCAACGAGCGGCACGCGAGTCTGCCTGAAAAATCCCCGCCACAGGTTGTTGGCCCCTTGTTAATAGCCCGTGCGGAAGTGCATTCGTTATGCGCGTTATCCTTGTCGCCCGGAATGGACGCCCGGCGCGCGCGAATCCGGATGCGTTTTCTAGTCTATCAACTTTACACGCCTCTCGTCGTGCGCATTCACGCCTCCTCCTCCCGCGCCTCGCCCTCACCGGGACCGAGCGCATATTTACGCGTCTATTGCGGACAATAAAAATTTCAGTTTTGGACACAGCGTTTACGGGGAGGGGAAGAGAGAGAGAGAGAGAGAGAGAGACACTGTTCTTTTGAAACAACAATAGTGTACCGCGTATGTATGCGCTCCGTCGAAGGCACACTCGTATGCTCATATTGTACGTGTATATCGTCGCGACATATCACGCGTAATCTGTAAGCCGAGCGGAGGGAAGGTATGTGTGTGAATCCGTCGAAAGTCGGGGGCTGAGGAAAGGGACGTGGAGTTTGCCAAAACGGGGGTTGCTTCTCCGCGAGGTCCTGAGGTCTCTCGACGAGAAGACCTCGAGCTTCGTCGGGAACTTCGTCGACTGTCAATCGATTTTCCACATATCCACGTACTTACATATCCACGTGGCGGCATATCTAAATGTAATCGTAGTCCCAAAGCGCGTCGCGGTGCGGGAGAGACGAGTGTTATTTTTTAATTGATTTACATTCGGTAGACCGAGTGCGGCGCAAAGTGTTGGCAACCATTCGAAAAACTGAGCAGAGAACGTTTTACCCCGCGTACGCGCGCGTACGTGTTCGTGTTCGTTGTATATGTGTGCATGTGTGTTTGCGTGTGTGTGTATGTCTGTGTATGTGTGTGTTCGCGAGTGAGGGTGCATGTGAGCATGCGTGCGTGTAGAGAGTCGAGTGCTCGCGTGTACGCGTTATAAAAGGAATCGGAAATCGTTAGTTTACAACCCTTAAAGAGCGAGCCCGCCGACCGAAAGAAGGGGGCAAACCACTTTTAAAGATGTTAACGATGTACAAATGTGTAATTTAGTGTCGCAGGAAGAATCCGTCTACGGCGCGGTATATGACGACGAAAATAAGAAATAAAAACAGGAAAAAAAAAAGTATGTAAAAATATTTCTTTTATTTTACGAGTACGAAAGAAGAGAGATCACCGAGCGTGTGCGTACGATTGCGATCGTTTAGTGGGCATAGGCGTATCTATATTTCCAAGATTACACACACTTTTTTGAAGGTATACATAATAGAGAGCCGAGAGATATACCGTTCAGGACGAAACGCGGATATATCGTCAGCGGAGAAGGACTGGTGTTGGGGGGTAGGAGGGAAGAGCGCGACGTAAGGGAACGTACGCTGTCATAAATCCACATGTACGGTAAAAATCATGTGCTATAACGACAGTTGTCGAAAATAAAATTTTTTTCGATCGATTTCCTCTGTGGTCTTGTTTCTCTTACCTTACGACGAGCGTGTGTTTTCGCGTTTTTCGTAACGCTTGCGCGCACACGTTACACGCGCCGGAGTGTCGCATTGCAAAATACAGAAAGACCGAAAACGATAGAAATCGCATTCGACGATTGTTTGAAGCAGAACGCGAACGTAGGACGAGCGCGAAATATACACATTCGTTGTTAGTCCGTTCACGAAGCATCGTATCAACGGAAGAGAACGGAGGTAATAAAACTACGCTTCGAATACGCGCGGCTGCTTAAAGCACGGACGCTTGCATTTTATCCTCTGAGGCGGGGAATTATTTATCCGGCTAATTTATACAAGTCGAATTCCGCGAACGAGCTGTGGAAATTCAAGAGTGCGCTGTGATTTAAGCAGCTCCCGCTATTTCCCTCGGAACACTAACGACATACCAATTTCTACCCAACTGGCGGGCCCTCCCCCCCTTTTCCCGATTTTCCCAGCGAATATACACCACTCGAGTCGTCCATCGGGTCACAAAGCTGAAACGGTAATTGCGGATTATCACGCATGCAATATACATATATGGAAAGAAATCTCGGTAATTCCAATGCACTCCGGGCAATGATAAATATTTCGCGGATTCGCCATTACAATCATTTTCATTATGTTTATTTTACAGCGCATTAATAATCATAAATGTCCCCCGGCGGGGGCGGCGCGTGAGTGCGCGCGAATGCCCTCCATCACCGACAAATGCCGTTGCCTTCATCATTGCGTTTATCCATTTTTGACGTTAAAACGCTCGCCGAACGAGATGCGAGGGCGAGGCAACGAGATCATGAGATTTCGAGCGACTGTCAAACAAGCGGGAACGAAGCGAAGAGCGGCGCTAGATAGATCGAAGACAGGTAGGACGATGGTGCTCTTGACGTTTGACGAGGAGGAATCCCCCTATCCGTCATTATTATAAGCGGCACTTTATCAATAGGAAGAGGGTCATCTCGCGTCAAATCGATCTGCTTGCATTTGTCAAAGTGAGAAATAATGATGGCTAACTTGCATATATATATATATATATATATCATGCAAAAAGGATCGCGTGAAAATTCAATTGGGAAGTTATCTCTCGCCGGTGTGCGTAATGCGTACGTGTAATATACACGAAGAGAGAGATACGAGATCGAGAGGATACTCTTTGAAACGCGAAGTGCAGTCGGGGAGAGGAAGAGGGAGGAGACGCCCGAGCGCGTCGCGCGCCACGTACGTAATTGAAGTTTCGCCAATCGTCTCGATTATGGCTATGAGATCTGTCACAGTTCGCCACGCACACACCGGTCCGTCACGTCACGTGTGTGCGTGTTCTGTCTGCAAAGCGGATACGTATTTCAAATTTTACATAAAATACACGAAAGAGAGAGAGATTCCGTCGCGCGCGGCGCCGCCGGACGGTCACGCGCGTCTCCCGGCCGCGTGTATTACGCGCGTCGCGCGCGAAATTAAGTGCACACGAGATTTGTTTCGCGCGTCTCCCTGGGAATTATATCCCTAAAACGGGCCACGGATAAATACGGATTCCGGTGATTCCATAGGAAGAGCGTATAGCCGACGGATTCCACCCGGCCGAAAACGACACGCGGCCTGATTGAAACCTGAACGGCCGAATTGCATCCGGCGACACGGGCGTTGCATTCTGAAATTTCATATCCAACAATCTCGTTATAGCAACAATGCCTTGATTGGTATCATTCTATCTGTGCCGTCTGTCCCGCGTTTCTATTTGTAACAAAAAATCAATATATCCGCATGATGCTTTCTCTCACCCTCTCTTTCTCTCTCTCGAGCTCTTTCGATCTGTACCTCTCCTTCCCCCGTCGTTCCCTCTCCTTTGCTCCCTATCTTGACGCGAACAGCAGAGTTATCCTTCATTCGCTGTGCTCTCTAACAGGATGAACGCGTTGTCAGGACATACGACTACGTGAGCGCACGCTTTAGCGCCGGATTTAACCGGTATCGTGCGTATCCGCGCTTTTTCGAGTGAAAAAGCACGACAGCTATAAAAAGCTGCCACTCCATTGTGTAGCGATGGCGAAAAAAAAAAGAGAGTGAGGGGGGGAGAGCGAGAGAAAAAAAAAACAATACCGTTTGAAAGGGCAATCGGTTATTATTTTCTATACTACCCGTGATGTATCGCGAACCGATTGTACGTTAGCGGAGAAATACCGTTATCTACGTCTACGAGCCGGGGAAACTATTGTTTCTGGTGTTAGCCGTAATATTGTCGTGCTCTCGTGCGTCCTGTCGTGTATTATATCATATTTGTACTCGCGAGAGAACGCGCGGTATCGCGACAAACGATACCTCGGTCGCGATGGATACACATTTCTATATTTCACGGCGGAGCTAAGTAATTATAATGACGCGCTATTTCATACAGCACGTGTGTGTATATTCGTTTCATCAGAATTATGAAATTATAATATAATTACCAGCGTATCAAAACCANTTCTCTCCCCCCCCCTCTCTCTCTCTCTCTATTGCGCAAACATTCCGGCGTGTGAACCGTAATAATTCACTTTTGAATTAATCTATATTAACACACGTTTAATTAATTCGCCCTTTTAAGTCCCGGGCGAAGCCCGGATATCGTAATAGCGTCCGCGAACGTTCCGCATTATACCGCCCGTGTTGTATTCTAATCGTTCTCCGTCCTAATTTTGGACAAAGCACTACCTACTTTACCATTACACCGAGATCTTGGCAGCAATTCCAATTCCGCCGCGAGATATCCACGAAAAGTGCATACCGCCGAAATCCACATACCGCGTCGTCGTTTCTATGCCGTTTCGAGCGGGCGGGCGCGCGTGCACTTCGAACGCGCAGCGCGAACGGCATCTCGAAACGGCATTATTGCGCTTTAGCACACACCGCTCGCGAGGGCGAACACACGAATTAACGGACGCGCGCGCGGTCGGACAGACCGGAAAAACGACACATTATTTTCCCGAACGGCAAACGCGGCTTCAGCCGCGGCCAGAAAATGCGTATCGGGGTCTCCATAATACGGCCGACTGCTACCGTGAGCTATTGCGCCGCCCGCAATTTGGGCATATCTCTCTATCCTTCTCTATCCAACCCTCCCTCTCTCTTTCTCTCTCTCTCTCTCTCTACTTCTACCGTATTTTAGGTCAGACTCTTCAGGGATAACGACGCGTTATACATCTCTGCGTTCGTGTTATTTCGGAAAAGAAGAAGGGGAGGGGAGGAGGAAAAACAGGAGTACACGTCACGCTCATTTCTCATGCTAATACGAAACTTCGGGCGCTCCGCAACGACGTCATATCTTATTAATCCAATAAACGAGTAGAGAGACGCGGAGCAAATAACGGGGACTAATGCCCCGTCTTCTTTGCGATAGTCGGGGTTACGGGATTTAACGAAAATATTTACGTAAATTACGTTCGCGTAATTGTGCCGGGTGTATCCGTTTGAAAAAGCACCAAGCTTCCTCGGAGAGATGGAGCGCGACAGGAGGGGAAGGGGGAGGAATCAGTTATAACTGGCGGCTCCTTCCGCGACACGACTCGAACCACTTTTCCGTTTAATCGCTCACTGCTATTCTTGCTGATTAACCGGATCTCATCTTAATTAGACGCGAGCTGCACGGACGGCTGGCAATTATTGTTTACGCGCGCCGCTCTTTTTCACGCTCTCGCGTGCTCGCTCGAACCACCGCCGCCGCCGTCCCCGCCGCCGCTTCGAATTTACTTCGCGCAATTACCCATGGGTCTGTTCCTGATATATCGCGTTCTCCTGCCGCGTTTTGCTTTTAATTTCGTGCCGGGCCTTCGCCGTGCTAGCGCGCGGTTATCCTTGGAGGGCGATATTCATTTTATTAAGCGCGCGTGCGCCGGGCATCGCGACGTGCGAGGAGGAAGAAAAAAGGAATAGCGGCGGGGAAGGGAAAAGAGAGAGAGAGAGAGAGAGAGAAGGAGAGATGGAAAACGAGGGAAAAAAGGAGGAAAATTTAAACGCGAAAGGCTGGGTTTCTTTCTTTTTTTCCTCCGTGTGTTCTTTTTCTTGTCTTTTTTCCCCGAAGCTGGCCTCCCGTATTTTATCATCCAACGGTTAAATTCGCGTGTTCGTAATTCGCACGTTACTACCCGTAATCTAAGGGGTAGTCCGCGTTGTTGTACGGACTGATGCGCGAAGATATCGCATCAACCCCCCNCGAAGATATCGCATCAACCCCCCCCCCCGCGAGAACCGCTCCATGAGCCTTCTCGATAAAGCCGAAGCGCCACTGCAATTAAATCTCGAGTAACACCGTCGAGTTTTTGAGCGCAAAGTTTGAGTATCGTTAATTGGCAAGCGCCGCGGTTTGCTGTGCTATCCTAGACGTGTATACCTTCTAAATACTTTCTCCCCTCTTCTGGGTCACTCGCAAATCCCGCGAATCCCCGCGATACGACAAAGTTTGCGCCCCCGAAACCAATTTAAGAGACGAAACTTATACGGTATATCGATGCCGGGAGCCCGCTCGGGCGTGTCAAGGCCGCTTTTTTTGACACCGAGGCCGATACCACGTATCTTCTCGACGCACAAAGTGCCTGTCCATGCTAAAAATATGCCGTGCACACACAGGTTAGCCAAATGACCCGGCGCGGTCGCGTTCATTCTGATACTTCTGCCCACTTTTCGTTCCCTTAATTTCTTGAACAAACGCGTCCCAGAAAACGGTCAGACTTCAGTTTGAGGTGTTGACTTAAGATGACATTTTGATTCTACGTTAAATTCCGTTAAACTTGAAAAATCAATGGAGAATTTCAAGATGGAATATTATACATATGTTATTATCTTACCTTAAAATAGTTGGCCCGTTAAATTATTTTTGTAGGAATTTCTTCAAATTTCAGCTGCATATTAATGGAAATATTACACGTTCGTAAAGTTAGTTTAATGCAATTAAATTAACACAGTTAATTTAATGTAATCTCTTTTATCT